GCAGCGAGAGAGAAGAGAGTAGTGTGTGTGTGTGTGTGTGTGTGTGTGTGTGTGTGTGTGTGTGTGGTGGTTCGAGGGGGGGGTTGTGAGTGTGACACAGCCAGCAGAATAAGCGCCCTGTCTCTTTAAAGGCCCAGACACAGCCCCATCTGATGCGGCGGCTCCAATCAGCAGCCCCTGGGCTCGGGCACCAGCCGGAGCCTCTGCTCTGCATTCCTCCCTCTTCCTAAGGGCTAACATGGCGATGGCAGGCAGAGGATGAGGTGAAGAAGCAGGGGGAGGCGAGAGCTGCAGCTGCACAGACACACAAGCGGGGCAGAGAGCACAGCAGGGGGGATTGCAGCAGAGGAAAGGAGAAGGGGGGAAAAAAATAAAAACACCCAACCCAACATTTTCATGGAGAGCAAAAATCCCATGCAAGCTGGGGAGGATCAGGACTCCTTTGAGCTGAGACCCTTGCATCAAAATGGTAGAGCTGCAAACCTTTCATTTCTCTGATTCTTCCTCTTGTTGATTGCTCCCGGGGCTTTGCAAAGGCCGCTGAAACTTGCCTAAATAATTGCAACCACGTTGTGGGGGGGAAGGGGGTTGGGGAGGGCTGAAAAGAGGTGCATGGTTTATTTTATGTGCATGCTGCATCCACAGATTGGGTGAGGGGCAAGACAGATCTATGCACCCTACAAAGGGGCCGGGTTGGAGGGGAGTGAGCTCTTCTTGCGGGGCGGTTTGGAAAAAGGGTGCGAAGAGCGGTGCATCTCTGCATTTTGAAAGTGGATTTGCAAAGTAGGACTGCAGCTGGAGCAACAATAGCTGTCTTGTTGCGTGCAAAGAGTTAAAATTCCTTCCTAGCAGGCTGATGCCTTGGCAAAGGATTAGGTCACAATCCAAGCATTTTAATTACAAGTTGATTTTTTTTTATGCCCCGCTGCTCCCCCCCTCCTTCCCTCCCGCAGCACTGAGAATTTTGCTTGTAGGGGGGTGCAATAAAAATAATGACACCCTCCCCTCCCCGCTTAGGATCTCGAATGAGAAAGGGCAGCTGTTTGGGTATGAGACTTGGGCTGGGTTGTTATTTTTCCGCTGGATTTATTTGTAAGAAGGAGCAAGTTTGTACTGGGTTCCCCCCCCTCCCCTGCAGGAGAGGGGAGGTGGTGGAACTTGCATTGCAGATGTGAGCAAATGGAGATGGGGGGGGTGTTGGGCCTAGGGGAAAGGGACCAGGTTTCTGCTCAAGGGCAGGAATCGAAACAAGGGGGGGGGGGTGTGCTTTAGACACCATTGGAGGTGGCTGCTAACAGTTGCTGTCTCTGGCTGGGGGGTTACTTTGCAAACGGGGGGGGGGGGGTCTTACCTGCAGGTGTCAGAGCTTGTTCTCTGGAATGTGGAAAATATTCAAGTCGGATTTATTTTTCCCCTTTGTGCTTAACACTCAAATGGAGAACTCATTTGATGCCCTCATTTAGACAACTTTCTTCCCTGCTCCATCCCCTTCATATGTGGTTAGCATTTTTCCATCTAAGTCCTAAGGGCTGGGGAAAGTTCTCTTATCTTTTCTCACAGTGCATCTGTGAAGGTGTTTGAGATTTAAAGCCCTGGTGGCCACAGGCTTGCTGCCTTGATCTGGATAGCAAGAGGGGCATGAATACTCTGCCAGGGGGGAATGTATGGAGTTGAATTTGGGTTTACATATATCCCAGTGTCATGCAGTGCATTTCACTTTCCATTAGTGTCTGATCTTGCAAGTTGATGTGAGGTTCGAATCTAATGTTATTCCATAATGGCTGACTTAAGGGCTTCATTCTGACTTCACGCCGGTGCAAATCAGCACAGGGAAATCGGTGGGTGCGCAGTGGTGTCAATGAAATCGGAATCAAGTCGCGGATGTCTATGAATGTGTATAGGCATTTATCACACGAGTGGTGCTATACCGATCTGTGTTGAGAGCTGCATAGATTTAGGCTGGGCCGTTTTGATTGGGGTTGCTGGGATTGCGGATTTGGGCCCAGTCTGAGCAGTAACAAACTTCCTTTGAGGTTGGTGGGAGTTCAGGGTTTGCGAGGGGTGTAGGTGCTGGCCCCGTAGTGGTGACATACTTGAGGTGCAGACTTTTACAGCTGGGTAGTTTATCCTTGCAGAAAGCAGGCCTTCAACTAAATATTGAAACATGTAAACAGAAATCCAGTTCCCCTCATCTAAAGAGAGCTCAGCAGTGTATTCTCTGGGAAATCTGCTACGAATGAGGACAATAATCCATGGATCTCACCAAACAAATACTCTCTAGCTCCTTTTTTCCCTCTCTTTCAGTAAAAGTCTACTATTATGTTATTGCCAGAGTGATGGCATCATGCCCATAACAACACAGCCGGCAATTTGAGTAGCTTTTAGGAAATAGTAATAAAGTGCTAGGTTTGCCCAAGTTGTTATTATTTTCATATTAGTGTGGTCCTGCTCTGGGGTGTGAGATAATTATTGGGATGTGCCAAGTTCTTCCCTTAACAAGCCTGCTGTTGGACCTGCTCGGCAGCGCACTGCCCCGTGCTACGGCCCTGATCCTGCAATGGGGCCCTACGGAGGGTCTGTATGGTCAGTGGTGGGCTCCGTTGAAGTTGGTGGGTAGAAGGGTCGGTCCTTTATTAGTATTATAGTAGCACCTAGCAGCCAACCGAGAATGGGGCCCTATTGCGCTCGGCACTGTACAGAGTAAGAGACAGTCCATGAAGACACTACTCTGTGTAGACAGGAGAAGCCTAATTGGAGTGCCTGATTCCTTGCTTACTAAAAATTACCACTGACAGTGGAGTGCAGTAGTGGTAGGGTGACCAGACTGCAAGTGTGAAAAATCAGGACGGGGGTGGGGGGTAGTAGGAGCCGATATAAGAAAAAGACCCAAAAATCGGGACTGTCCCTATAAAATCAGGACATCTGGTCACCCTAAGTAGTGGCTTGGTGAGATTCAGTAGCATCTTTAGGATCAGCCTTTAGAGGAACACTGCTGGGTGATTTTGTGCCCATGAAGTTTTACACTACAAATATGAATAGTGTTTATGACTTTTTTTTAATACACTGAAATGAGAGAAGCTGTTTTGGACTCTCATGCTGCAGTCTTGGCTTGAATGGGAGTCTTTGTGGGTCTTAGGCCCCGCCACACGGATCAGATCACGGGCTTGGTTTGGATTGAAGCATTCCCCCTGCAGAGTCTGCCAGCCAAACACCGCAGATCCAGCTACGGGCTTGAGAACCGGGAAGTGAAACTGACCAGTTGAGTTTCACTGTCCGAGGACCGGTCTCAAGATTATTAAGTAACACAGGAAAGCTGTTTTATGGGAAGGATTTTTTTTAATCTTAATGTGCTTTTAATGTAATGTTTCTGGACCTGAAATAAAACTTTCAGCAATGCAAATGATTCAGCTGGTAGCATTCCTACTATTGCAATTTATCAAGTCAGTTGGATCTGGTAAATGCAGTGGCACAAGCTTTTGTTGGTGTGTTCCCAAAAGGTAACCTAACAGGTTTGTACAATCTTTTGCTTCCTTAGAAATGCAGCTTATCTTTGTTCTCTTTGCAAGAAATTTATCACCTATTCGAACATTGTAAGGCAAATGTTGGAATAATAAAAGTAAAACGGGCCAGTATTTCCATTGCCCTGTATATAGGAAAGCCATGTAATGTAGTTTACGAAAATAACGTGGTGCTGTCTTTGAAATTTCTAGTTGATCA